GTCTCCATATTTAAATGACTGTCAACTGCTCAGAATAGAGTCTAGCTCTCTAAATTGTGTTTCCTCAGCAGGTAATATATGCTTATCACCAAAGTAGGTCCTCAACAGATACTTGTGAATGCTTCACTGACAATATGACTGGATTCCTGAAAGAGCTCTACTGTTCTGTTGCCTTGAAGGGGAATACTACTGCTGCTGGACATGGAAAGTTGCCAGAGTGGAAATGATTCTCTGAACTAGAACAATATATACTTGAACATCTTCTTTTTCTTCCCTCTGCTTCCCCAGATTTTTTTTTTTTGGTGGTGGTAGTTGTGGGGAAATATACTTAGAAATTATATGTTTATTAGTATTTTTCTGTTGACTTTTAATTTTTTAATTATTTAAAACATGAAAATAGGTGTGTTACGGGTAACCTTTTTTTGTTGCAAGATTCCTTTATTACATTGTTTCATAACATAGTAAAATTAGAAATTTCTCTTAAAAGCTTTTTCTTCCCAGATACTATAAAACCCTATTTGAGAAAGCATTAGCTCTTTTAAGATCACATCTTCAGAAAAGAAAATTTTTCTGGTAAGATGAAAACATTAGCTATAAGCCAGTAAATAGTAATTCAGAGTGACTAGGTTTATTTCCATATTTGGCACAACAACAAAGGACTAGTGGAAAGATTGTAGTTTTTAGTTCAAAAATTCAACAAATGTCACCTTGTCATTTATAGCAAGCTAATGTGTTTTAGCTCACCTTCTGTTTCCTAGCATATAGATAGAGACTAAAGGGTTTAATAGACAAGCCAACAATTCACAAAGGAAAGATGGGAAATAGGCATAAGCAGAAGATAATTTACTAATGCATTTCTCTCTGAAATTAATGGGAAAATGGCATATTTGCTGAAATACAGAGGTAACCTCAAATTTGATAAAAGGCAGCCACTAAGTCTTATATTGAATAACTTTACTTAGGTATTCAGTGCAGGGTGACTGCATTTTTTGCAGGGTGTTGGTCCTCTACAAAGTTGTGTATTATAGTGAAAAACAGTCTCTAGTCAGTTTGATGTTGTTAGAAAGCACTTGTGCTCAGGATGGCAGTGTTAATCCCCAGAGCTTCCAGTGTATTCTGAAAGTTGGGACAAAGGATTTAGAGACTGGAGCAGGGATATAAATACTTCTGGAGCCAGCTTCTTCTATATTTCAACAGAACCCTGACTGAAGAAGCATTGTTTCTTTAGAGACCTTTATTTTGCAGTTTAACACATATTGGAAATTTCTAATTTAAATTTATGCTTTTGGATAAGGTGGATTAGAGAGATTGAATTGCTATAGACTAATGAGAAGGTCACTTGATTCTGAGGAACTCTCTCTTTCGAAAGAAGTTTTAGTGTGAAATGAATGGAGTAAAGAAAAAAGGAAAATCATCCACTCAGAAACTACCTCTACATGCCATACTGTGGTGGATGCTCTTCTATCTTTTTTTTTTTTTTTTTTAATTTTATTTTTGTTTAAAATATTACAGATGTCCCTTTTTCTCCCCAAGCTCTTCTATCTTTTATCTCTTATAAGCCTTGTCTTTTCAGATGAGGAAACTGAGGTTTAGAGAGGTTAAATGACTTGCCCAAATATCACATAGCAGTGATAGGTTTTTTCTGACTCCCAAACCAATTATTCTACTATACTTGTTCCTTGGTGGTTAGGTGGCTGATACCCAGGAGTTTATTTTAAGAACAGGTTTCTTTTAGGTCTGGCTCTTCTCCTTTCTCCCACATTGTCTCGGAATACAGGATTTAAGATACTAATTGTGGAACTGAGTGTGCCAGCACATGTTTCTTGACCTTTTTGGGATTTTGATGTAACATGAAGACTATTATGTTGTTGGTTTTATTTCTCCTACACCTTATTTCAACACCAGTGGATGGTGTCCAGGGTATAATCCACTTCACAGATTTCTCAGTCATTTAAGAGCAGGTTCTCTAGTATCTTTTTCCTTATGGCCATAGTCAAAAAACTTGTTTTATCTATGTAAACATGATTGTGGGAGAAGTATATAATTACAGTAAGCTTTTGACTAAGCTGAAACAAATCTTGCCTGTATCTGAAAAGCTGGTTGAGGAGGGTTGTAAGTAGTAATGTTAGTTTTTCTGTACATCAATTCAGACCTGGTCCCAAAGGAAGAACAAAGCTGTTTGAACTGTGACCACTCCTTAGCTGCAAGTGTTAACCACTGTAGTTACTCAGAAGCCTAGGTAGATTCAAACCATTGACCTTGAGTTGAATTATTTTGTAAGCTGTGAATTATCTTTTGGCTCATTCTTTCTTTAACCAGGAAATACACTGAATGTTGATTTCAGGAGTTTCAGTTATCCCTTCCAAAGAGTGTCCTGCTCACTAAAATATCTGGGACTTGTTTTTTGGTAATCAACAGGACCACAACTTGGTCTGTACTCACTGGTTGTGTCAAATCCATGTGTAAACAGAAGGAGAGATCTCAATAACTGTCTAGAGAAAGGCTGTTTAAGATGAGACCATCTTTTCTGACTCAGAGGAATGGGGAGGTATAGGAGAGTGAATCTGAGGGTGAGTATAGCAGGTGGTGGGTGTATTTGTATCTGTAAATATCACATTGCTGTTTACCATACACTGGACTCTCTTCATGCAAGACCTTCTCAGGCCAAATTAGGAGGAATTGTTCCCTTATTTAAAGCCAAGAATAACATGCTGACCAGCAGGGGACAGAGGTCAGCTCAAGGCAACAGCTCTTGGGAGCTGTAGGACATTAAGAACCTTGAAGGAACTGAGTTTAATAGAAGGAAGCCAATATGTACATTGAAGGAAGTGTTTGAAACCTGTGTGTTTCTTCTTTGGGGCATAGCTTATTTATAAAAAATGAAAAATTGTCGTTAATAGTTGGATATGTGATGGGTTCATATCACCTCCTGGTCATTTAACTATATATTTTTCCCCCTCCTGCCTGCATATTGATTCATCTGTTGTTCTTAATTAGCAAAAGAGGAAAATGTTCTACTGATATTCTGGTGTTTTATTCTACAAGCAGCTTCAGAAACACCCAGGAGAGGGCTATATTTGAAAGAAACGTTATTTAAAAAACATATACCCTTTACAAAATCTCCTGGGGACCTTCTGAACTGGCTGAAGTTTTGTTTCTGGGATCGTTCTGTGCTACTCTCTTCTTTTTCCATTCAGTGTTTCCTCATTCTGATGCTGGCCACTCACCCCACCAAGGCTACTCAAACTGTTTTCTGAGTTCTGTTTTCTTCTCTGGGACTCATTTCTCTGGTCTAACTTGAACTGATTCTGGGCCGAAGTGATCATCTGAAAGCTTTTCTTCATGGCCTTTATTTCTTGGCTCATTTTATGCACTTTGCCTGATTCGTTTTGCTGCTTCTCTCTTTTTCCAGTATTGTAAGTTATGTTGCCTCAGTTGGAAGGTTCTAAAGCTCAGATGTAGCCTCTGGCCTCTTAGATTTTACTCTGGTTTGTAAAGTGCCTTTTTCCTTTCTTAGAAATTGGGGGATGAGTAAATCAAGTGCTCTTTAGTGAGGGATTGCTAACTCTCCTGGGTCTCTAGTTTGCTACTTGTTTAAACACACATGTAGCTATTTGGATTGTATTTTCAATGTAGGACTTGTTGCCAAGACTCTCAAATAGGTCATTGCTGTTACCCTTTTTCCCCTTGTTTTTAATAGAAAATTTAGGGGTACAAAGAGAACTACCTTGTCCATGATCAAATAGTATGTTGGTCTACACTTTTTGAAGCAAACCTCATTTTTGTATTCCTTATGTTTCTTAGCACAGCTATTAACAAATAGTTAATAAATAACAGTAGTTTAATAGATACATTTTAACTATGGGTTCATTGATCAACTAAATTTCAGAATTCTCATCAAGTCATTCACCTTTTAGACAAATATGTGAGAAAAGTTTTTGGATGGAAGGGACTGAATAGTTATGCAGAAAGGGTTAGCAATTTAGAATATTCGTGCAAAAAATTCCCATGTAAATCCTATTCTTTTTATTTTTTAATTTTTATCCTTACCCGAGGTTATTTTTTCAGAGTGGAACAGGGGGAGAGAGACACACACACATATCAATGTGAGAGTGACACATCAATTGGTCGCCTCCCACACACGGCCGAACCAGGGTGGGGGATCCAGTCTGCAACCCAGGTGCGTGCCTATGACCGGAATCAAACCCAAGACTCTTCAGTCCCAGGGCCTACGCTCTAACTACTGAGCTGAACCAGCTAGGGCTAGGGTGTAAATCCTATTCTTAATGAAGAAACAGAAGGGTAGTATGGCTAGAGGGGAAACTGGTTAAAAATGCAAGGAGAAATAGCGTGGGGGAGGATTAAACAACATGGGATATCAAGAGATGCGAACAAACAGGCATCTTGCCAGCTTGGTATCAGACAGTGAAAATGAAAAATGTTCACCCTTCCCCCAATATTAGGCTCTCCACCACTGCCCTTCCCCCAAACCACTGTCCAGAGAGGCTGTTAATGACTCTGGGCACTAGCATCTGGTTTTGGGCTGCCATGTGAAGCATGAAGAGGTCCTGTGGGTTCAGTCAGCTGCAAAGATTTATTAAATTTTCCTAATTGTTTTGCTGTTCTCAAATACTACTGCTAATTTCAGTGTACACTGTACATTGTGCAATAACCTTTCATAGGATCCATCTACCTTTTTTTAATGTTCAAAAAACAATGAAAAACAAACTGCTGTTTTTTTGCTTTGGGGCCAGTAGTTTGCATCTCATTTGGGATCCTTGTTCCCTTGTCTGGCCTCATTGAGTTGTACAAGTAAATTTTCACTATTTCTTGTTTCAGACATGTTTCCAACTTTTGTCTTTACCAGCTCCCTGTAGTAAACTTTGGTTTCAGACTTGCTTCAGGGGAAGGGTGATTGATTTTTTTTTTCTTGCTTGTTTTTTGTTTCAGTAAATATGTTCTCTACTTACTCATTATTGTTTATCTTCTTTGTCAAACAGGCCACCAAGCAGTTTCTTGAAGAGATTAACAAGTGGACAGTTCAGTACAACGTTTCCCCACTCTCTTGGAATGTGGCTGTAAAGTTCCTCATGGCTCGAAAGTTTGATGTGCTCCGTGCCATAGAGTTGTTCCACTCCTACAGGGTATGTAGCTCAGGGTAGACCAGACCTGTGGCAGCTGGGCTCTCTATGTTGCTATAAAAACCACACTTTATACACAGTGGTTCTGAGTGTTCTCATCACTCTCAAAAAAGAAAAAAAAGTGGGTTGGTATTCAAGAGCCCTACCTTGGGGTCAGAGAATCCTTCTGAAGAGACAGCTCCCTAAATTTTTTAAAAAAGAAAGGGAAGTAAGAAGCACTAGGATTGGTTTAAAACTGATGCTCACGTAGGCTTATCTTGTGGTCATCTTGTTCAATATTCATTCATTTATTCAACAGAAATTTACTGTATACCTGCTATGTTCTAGGTGTAGAGATTATTGTTGAGAAAGAGTAAACAATTGTAGAAATGTTATGATAGGGCAGTACTGGGTTCTGTGGAAGCCTTCCTGAAGGAAATGACTTCTAAATTATGATCTAAAGAATGAATATGAATCAGACAGGTAGGGGAAAAAAGCTCGAAAAAGTATGGCAGAAGTAACAGCAAGTTTCAGATACCTAGAGAGAACTGAGCTGAGCAGAAATACTGAGTGGGAGTAGGGGCATGGCAAGAATTTGAGCAGCAGAGGAAAACAAGGTCAGATAAGAGTATCTATCTGCTTTTCTTAAGGGCAGAGAAATTCATTGACAGTATAAACAGCAGAATGATATGATCAGATTTGCATTCTGGAAAGGGTTTTCTTACTGTACTTTAGAGGATGGATATACTAAAGACAGAGACCAATTAAAAGGCTCTTGTACTTATGAGGAAAGAGATGATTTTGGTGTCTTTAGGCATAGTGTCAAGTGGAGATAAATAAAAAATGGGCAGATTCTAGAAGTAAAATTGGTAGGACAGGGTTGCTTAAACTGGTGTGTGAGGCAAGAGGAGATCAGGGTTCTAGGTATCTGCCTTGGATGACAGGGTACAGGGTGACATTCACTAGTATAGGAGACAGTGAAGGGTGCAGGTATATGGACAGAGAAGGTCATGAGTTCAGTTTGGCCATGTTAAGTTTGAAGTGTCATTGGGATATCTAAATAGAAATGTCCTCTAAGCAGTTGGAATGTGAGTCTAGGGTTCAGAAAAGAAATCTGGATGCAATTAGAGATTTTTGAGTAACCAAAGTAGAGCTGAACATTGGAGCCATGAGAATGGGTAAGGTCATCCTGGGAGAGTGTGAGGAATAGGAAGATATGTAAGGCACAGTCTCACCTCAGACATTTTGCTTTTTTGGCTGGAAAGTTGTTTTAAAAGTTGAATTTGAATGCTTTTTGTAGGATATGCACTCTCCTGTGATCCCAGCACTGACACTCTCTTCATTTGCTACTGAAGGCATTTGAATTTGATTTTAAAGAAGGACTGGGGAAACCTGGTTTGTTTTATTCATTGGCATGTTCCTAGCACTTAATTCAGTGCCAGGTACATAGTAATTGCTCTACAGATATTTGCAGAATAAATGAATGAATCAGTGAGTGAGCAAATGAATGGGGGGAAAAAAACAGCCTGCAAGAGAGATTTAGAAGGAATAATCAAAGAAATAAAACCCAGAAATCATTATCTGTGAAAGATAGAGAATGTCTCAGGAAGAAGGGAATGTGAGTGGTCAGCCTGGTCACATAAAGGAAGACTGCAAATGCCCAATGGATTCAGTGACAGGAAGGTCCTTCTGTAGTTAAAGGAAATGAGAATGCAGTAGACCGAGCATGAGGGAGCTGAGGGTGAGCTTAAAGAATATGTCTGTGGCTCTTCCCAAAAGCAGCCAGAGGTGACCTCTGAAAATGGTTCACTATTCACTTGACCCAGAAAACCTCACAAAATCGTGCAAATCAAGATGATCTTCGTGTTCACTTTAAGAATACTCGAGAAACTGCCAAGGCCATCAAGGCTTTGCATATTCAAAAAGCCACCAAGTATCTAAAGGATGCCACTTAACAGAAGCAATGTGTTCCATTTTGTCGTTACAGTGATGGAGTTGGTAGGTTTGCCCAGGCCAAACAGTGGGGTGGACACAAGGTCGGTGGCTCAAAAATAGTGCTGAATTCTTGCTGCACAGGCTTAAAAATACAGAGAGTAATGCTGAACTTCAGGGTTTGGATATAGAGTCTCTGGTCGTTGAGCACATCCAGGTGAACAAAGCCCCCAGGATGTGGCATGGAACTTACAGAGCTCATGGGTAGATGAACCCATACATGAGCTTTCTCTGTCACATTGAGATGATCCTCACTGCAAAGGAACAGATTGTTCCTAAGCAGAAGAGGAGGTTGCACGGAAGTAAAAGATCCCAGAGGAACTGAAGAAACAAAAACTTAGGGCCCATGAGTAAATTCAGCATAAAATAAATACTAATAAAAGTTAAAAAAAAGAAAAGAAAAGAATCTGGCCATGGAGATGAGGAAAATGAGGTCATGGTAGCTGCTTTTGGAGAGGATATAGAGGGTAGGGGTGACTTTTAAAAAAATTGATAGGAAGGGGAAGGGAGAGAGAAAGAGAAAGAAACATTGATTTGTTATTCCACTTATTCATCCATTGGTTGATTCTCATACGTGCCCTGACTAGGGATCTAACTTGCAACTTTGGCGTATCGGGATGACACTCTAACCAACTGAGCTACCTGGCCAGGGCGAGGGGTGACTCTTATTTATGATAGGAGAGGCCTGTGCCTGGAAGATGTATGAGGATGTCTGTTTCCAGACGGTTTTGGGTACATATTTTAATATCCTGGTCCAGTATCTGTGCTGCTGCATGTTTAAGAACTTTGACCCTGCATGCTGGTGATACATATTGGTTGGTCTTCAAGATTAGGATTCTCACTGATTCAAAAGAAACTATTCTACCTAAGGGGCTTATAAGGTGGCATTGGAAAGGAAATTCTGATAACACTCAGAAGGGGGTTACAAAGGAATTTATGATTTAGTTAGTTGACTTGTAAAGTCCCTTATCTTTGAAATTTGGCGATTACATAAAGCTATCCTGGAAATATAGTATATTTTTTTTTAACATTTTATTTAAAAAAAAATTTTTTTAAGATTTTTCTTGATTTTTTTTTTTTTTTTTTTTT